TACAATTATCTTTCACGAGCATGGTTACCATACAATTCAATTCTCATGTCAATTTATCATAGTGTGATCTCAAACTTGGTTTATAGTTTGTTCGATTATGATCACATAAGTTTTCTTCAATTCCTAAAGGTCTTAGCTCTAGAGTAAACTAACTATGCTCTATTGGTATACTCCTATCGTGGCCATAGATTCCTTAAGCAGTACACTTATCAAAGTATAATATGATAACTCCTTTAGCATGCAAGGAATGATATGAATGTGATAACTCCTAGGTTGCTTGTAAGATGAAAGCTAGGTATGTATTTGACTTGCTCGAATCATCCGTAGTAGTCCAACAAAATGCTCAACCATTTTAGTAGGACAATTTAGAAATCTAACATGATTTGATACAAGAAGTCAAGGATGATTTATTGTTCAATAATCTAAATAGATCTTTTGTAGATATAAAATTAGTTAAGGCTTATGAAGAAGATGATAATGAATATGAATCTATGTCGGATGAGGGAGATGAAAACTTAAATAGTGATTACAATGGTTGTAATTAAATTTTAATTTTATTAGTTGTATTAGTAATTAATGATAATTTTTAGTTGTTTTATTTGTTATAGTATATCATATTGGCTTTCCTATATTTTTAAAATATTGATTGTGTATTTTTTATCGTATTCTGTTTTAAGTAGATTATGTATCGGGTAATTAGAAAATATTCAATTTTTAAAACAATTGTAACAACCCCAATCTAGAACCTCGTAAGTTGAAAATATTACCATCATTGACTTACCTTTGAAGTGCAATGAATGCAAACCAACAAAGCACCGTCTCTTTTCTATGGTATTTTAGGTATGGAATTAGCTATGAAAACCTAATAATGATGGACGAGTCCTAATTTTGGTCCAAATTGCACTATAAATTTTTCACGTTTTATCCTTTTATTTAAATTACTTGGACTAAATTGATCGAATCTATGATATTCGATTTTCTCAAATTCTTTCTCTATTAGTCCGTATAAATTTATTTAATCATTACCCTTTATTTGATAATTAATTTGCTTTTATCCTCATTAACTACCTTTTATTATGGCTATTGTCTCATTAGTTTTATCATTCTTACTTTATTATTAATGCTAATATGTAAAATAATAACTTAAAGAAAACTACACTAACTATAGTTATACTACTATTTTACTACCGATATTTTGATTAATATATAGATTGTGTTTAATTTACATATACTAATCCTTTATCACATACTACAAAAATGACTTATTTAGTACATTCACTTTCTTTTTAACTAAATACGCATTTCTCTATTTTTTTACTATCATGTAAAAGAAAGATGTCATACCTAAAAAATAAACTAAATACCGAGTACTAATATAATGATCGTATGGAGATGAGAAAGTCCACCTTACAATCACAATCAAGATACACACGACGTACTATCCCCTCAATAGTCGACTCAAACGTAATCATTGTCATCTTTACTTACCACAAGAAACTAAGATGTCGTTTGATAAAACCGAAAATTAAGTACCGAATCTATTAAGTACCGAATTTTAAGTGTCGAATCCGTTAAGTACCGACTATATTCCCGACAAGCTATTTGGTATTTACCGAAAATTAAGTGTTGAATATAATAAGCATGTTTGATAAGTATTGTTGTTGAACATATTAAGGCTATGTATATGACAATTTTAACCTTGTAATTGTAACATGATATTTTTTAACACAAATAAAAATATATACATAAATGTATTTATGTGTATAAATAAATAAATAATTCAATAAAAATAATTATTAATAAAAAATTAAATATGGTCTAAAATAACAGTAATTGTCATATTATTCATAAAATAAATGAAATCCCAAGTACTAATTAATTCATTTGCAATTTGGTCTCGCAAATTAATCATAAATGTTTGATCAGCTCATGGTTGCGCCCCTCTTCCAATAAATGGTAAATTTGTAGTAATATTTGATGTTTGATGCATCATATAATTGCCATCAAATTGTTCAAAAAAGCTATCAAGTAATAACTGTTCTTCAAAGATAATTATGTATTGCAACACATGCAACAACAATATCTCTCTAAACTACAAATGGATATGGGGCCATTGTCTTTAGAATTGGAAACCTTGCTTTTTATAACACCAAATGCTTGTTCAATAACATTCCTCAATTTTCCATGTGCATGATTAAATGCTTCTTCTTTTGATCTTGGATGACGGCCATTGCGAAAATCGGATAACCAATATCGTGTATTACGATATGGTGCCATAAATCCTCTAGTATGCACATATGCAAGCATCACAAAGATAATATTTATCTCGCCATCAAATATTAATCTGATAAATTGCATGAAAAATGTAAAACATTTGGACGTAATACACCTACTAATAACGTAAAAAAAAAAAAACAATAAGGGGAATTTTTTTATAAAAAAGAATTTAATAAGCATGAAGCAACTTACCGAGTGGAGGGATGGGAAAATTATTTAATGAGTCACGCATAGTTTCGTTAACACTCTTGAATCATGTGCTACACCTTCCCATCCAGCCCAAACAAAAGTAAAAATCATATCAAAATCACATATTACAAGGATATTTTGATAGCAATCTCCTCGTCCTCTCCCTCTATATGGGACTTATTGATCGAGTGATATAACAAGCACGAATTAAAATCCCATCAAGGGCACCTACAACACTCTATAAATAAATAAATAAATTTAGTTAATTTTAAAATACACAAACCAATAAAATTAGAAATAAAAAATTAAATGTATAACTTGAAATACTTGACGAAGTTGACGATAATGTTGAACTTGACTAAAATTCGAATAAAATGAAGTAGGTACAACCATTTCTTTTGCAAACTTTAACATTGCTTGTAACACTTCATGGAAATAGTGATGCACTATTTGAGTTGAATGATTAAATCTTCATTTCACAAGCACGATTTCAAAAATTTTGACTTAAAGTTATCAAAAACATTGCTATTTTTTCTTCAACCTTAATATAATGACTATCTCTCAACCATCCTTTTTGTTTGAAATAATCACATAAATTTAAGATTGCTTCATTTTTCATTCTCAACATTTCTTGACGAGTGAGTCGGATTTTCATTAAGGATCTCTAACATATATGCATGTCCTTCAAGAGCCGAATCCGTATCCGGTCTTCTTCCAACACATCTTCTATTAATCCTTTTCGGGATAAGAAGCAACAAAATAATCCTTAAACTCTTTTTTTGCCTATCTATCAACATGCTCGTTAATTATATATATATATATATATAAGCAAAAGCATGTATCAAAAAAATAACGAGAAATCTAATTAAAGGAAAGATATTCAAATTGAAGTACTTTTATTCAAACAATAATTCTTATGAAAACAATAAACAATCACAATGAAACAAATTATTCTAAAATACTAAAACACAAATCATACGGAAAAATATTCAATTAAAATATTGTCAACTTTTTAGCAACCATTTTGATCCATCCAATTCGACTTCCTCTAGCTTTTGAGAAAGGTTTATCCATTGCTCTCGATATGCTTTGCTTTCACAAAAGATAGCACATGCAGCTATATATAAAGGGTCATCCATTCTTAAAGTCTCCATCTCATCTAACTTCTTATCGCACTGTTCTATACTCGGGTTTTTCATATTCTTACAATGTCTTCAGTATTGCCACCAAATGATCATCAATGTCATCATTCTTATTCTTCTTTCGATGTTGTTTAGGTTTTTTAATTTCATCATTTAGAATTGAAAATGGAACTAGAGAATTAGACCCCAAATCAATAAATTCTTCAAAATTTGTTCCAATTGGTTCGATTGGCATAGAAGAAGCAACTCCATTTATGGGCATTGTGTCTTTAGAAGGACCCCAACTTTCTTTTCTAGTGGCTGAAATTCCATCAAATAATGATTTCATCTCATCCAAAAATTGCAAACCAACATAACGAAACTCGTTTTACGTCACTATTGTTCTCGTTACATAAATATCTCAAACCAACAATATTATTAATTGCTTTCATCTCTACTAGGGAATGAAATTTATAAAAGAAATAATACATGTTCATAATCATTCCACTCTTGTGCGATCCAATTGACAATATTAGTTACTCGGATCATAACCATGCCCACTTTTATCTATTAGTTTTGACCATACTATGTACTTCTTTTTCAAATACGTCCACTCATTTTTAGTTGTTTTTGAGAAAACTTAATGCCTTTCGTTTCCTCAAATGCTTTCACTACATTGTCCCATTATTCTTTTTTTAAGCTCCCTCCATTTTTTTCAAGAATACTCACTTGTTCAATGCATGTATCCAAAAAAACTTTTACTATTTTGGAGTCCTTCCAATTGGCTCTAACACTATCTTCGAAGCCATCATACACATAATAAAATTATTATTCCAAAAGTCACATTACTACAATCTTAGAACTCAAAATTACACCATAAAAACTACCGTAACTTGTTTTAAAAAATAATTAAACTGATTGAGGAAGAGAGAAATTATTCACATTATGTTAAAATTAATGTATAGGAATGATAACTGCTAGGCAATGCAAAGATCTCGTTAAAACTAACAAATAATGCCCGGAAAAAAAACGCTACTCATTGGGTCTCGTTTTGGCAAACCACCCTAACAAATGTAATTTAGATTATAATCAGTTCAAAGCCAAGAAAGCAATGAAAAATGGCAATTAAATCTCTTTTGTTTATCACTCTAGGACAAAGAAAAAATTAGACGGGTACGATGGCATGATAAGTAAATTAATCAAAATCCAAACCCATTGTCATTTACCTCTCCTCCAAGACTCTTTGTACGGACTTCCCCTTTCTATTCCCCTTCTCCCTTGACTCATCACTTCAGTCTCTCCCCATCTCCTTCTCTCTCACTTGCACTCCACACTACGGCAAGCTTCAAAAAGTCTCTCTCTCTCAATCCCGCACACGGTACCATCACTCACGGCACACTACTCGTACTCTCTCTATTTCTCTTTCTCTTCACCAACACTACCATCACTCACGGCCACAACATTACTCACATACTTGCTAGCCACCCGTCTTTCTCCACCTTCAACCACTACCTCACCCTAACGCAACTCGCCGGAGAAATCAACCGATTGATGTGAAAGAGTATCCAAACTATCCCTTAAAATGGCAATTATTTTCTAATAAGCTCAACCCTCTCGAGCTAGCATATATGTTTTTGTGATATTCATACTTCATTTTTACTTGTAGGTGAGGGAATATGATTCCAAACGGGATTCATCCGGGAACCCTAATTACGGTCGATCTTATTCTAAAGGCCGCAGTGATAGCCGCGAACCGTGGTCGAAGTTTAAGTCGAGTAGGAGCCGAAGGTTGATCTTATTCTAAAGACCAAGAACAAGAGTAAAAATTCAAAGAATTTTGTTCGAAATAGTTGCTGCATTTTTTGGGAAAATTCTAGGTTTTTGTTCGTCCGTTCTTCATTTCGGGTAGGGGTTTTGATGTTCTTCGCATTTTTTGGTTTCTCGCTTTGGGTTTTGATGTTCTTTCAATTTGATTCTCGATTCCCTAGCTTCGATTATTATTATTATTATTCTCTTTTCCTTAAAATTCCCGGGCTAATAGCAAACCCGTAATCCCTAAATCAAACCCTAAATAATTCAATCAAAACGAGTACAAGATCCACTAGCACATGCTAATAGCAAGCATGCCAATCCGACGATGGAGGCGATATAGAAATTTGTCCACACCATACCAATTTAGCTATGTTTGACATCATTGGGTTTTTAGACACCATACCGAAGCTAATTTATGTTTCTCAACCAAAACTAATATATATATATATATATAATAATAATAATAATAATAATAATAAAACCAACAGGATCAACAAAGATATTGCCTTAATTTAACCAAAACCCGTAAACTAAAACATATCCATCTACAAAAAGAATCAACCTTTACGTAAAAAATTATACAAAAGAAAAAACAATCAAGATATCAACAAACACAAAAGGAAATCATCTACAATGGAATAAAAGAAAAATTACCTCGCGATAGGACTAGACCTTGATGTCTCGGATTCCTAATAGTTTATTGATAATGATAGGATGAAAGCACTAATAATGGAGAATGTCTTTTTTGTTTCGCCAATGAGAATAGTAGAGATTGTTTTTCAGTCGGTTTGTATAGCTAAAGTTATAAAAATATATGAGGGCTATATAGTCATATTTAAAAAGTTTTAAAAATCTTTCAACCGAGCGTGTTAATCAAAAAGTAATAAGTTAAAAATTTTAACTTACCCGATTAAGTAGATTTTGACCGAACTTAAACTTTTAATATGAGATTATTTAGATTATCAAAAAAACTTATTATATTAAGTACTATAACTTAATTTTTAAGCTAGTTAATTAGGTTATCAAACACCCCCTAAGTGAGCAACACCTCAATAAGTTAATCCATGCATGATGTGAATGTATGCATATGTAATGCGCATGAAAAATTATTTTCATGTCTTTTCAAAAACCCTTTTCATGCCATAAGATCCTTTTCATGATCAATTTGAAAAATATTTTTTGTCTTCGGACATGTCTTGTTTCAAACTTTCGTGTTTCCACGTTATATCTCAAAAACTAGATCGATCCGTAGATGCACAACTCGTCGAGCTCTAGGAATACATGTCCGCACCCCTCTTGACCCTATGAACTATGAAGCATAAACCATTTAAGTCATACAACCCATGAAGCCTTGTTTACAAAACCATGAAAATCATTACCATGAAAGTTATGAAAACCATATAATCATGAACTCGTTTTCCAATCTCTATTGAAAAAACCTTGACATAAAACCTAAATTTCATAACTTTAAACCATTATCATAAACCTTTTTTATGAATTGGCATGCATATGTGTTTGTAATATAAATACATAACCCTTAAGAATTCATGTAATGCATGCCCTATGTAATGTGCATTTATGCCATGAACATGCATGCCTTAACTATATAAATGTACCTTAACCATTACCTTGTCAAACATAATCAATCAATTTTCATTCACATTTTAATCACATAACTAACATCATAAAATACCATAAAAAGTCACATTTCACATTACAATTCAACAACAATATTTTACGATACACTTATAAATACTAAAAAAATCATCCATAACGTGCCTAGACATAGCAAAGTCTTCACATTTCATGTTTTGGGCACCAATATCACACAAATTCCATCATAGCAACTTCAATTATACAATTAAACAACCAATTGTATCAAGAACCCTAAATTAGGCCTAATCGATCGAAACCCTAATGAAGGTAATCTAGGTTAATTATCCGATTTTAATACAATTTCTCACTCTTATTCATCAATCCATACTTAATTAACTCCAATTTAACCAATAATTCATTAATTAAATAAGGAAATCAAAACCTTATTTTTTTCATGTTTTGGGCCAAATGTGCTAATAAGGAAATCAAGAGAAATTCTTCACTTTTAATGCAATTTTTCCCACTCAATCATTAATTCATACGTAATTAACACAAAATCAAGCGATAAACATCAAACAAACCAAAGCATCTAAAACCCTAAAATTTCCCATTTTGACTGAATGCTTTCTCTCTCCTAACTCTAGGAATTTTTTTATTTTTCTTTATCAATTTTAAGCCCAATTGGCATGTTTCAATATTAATTATATGAAATTATAGCTCAAAATCATTTTCTCCAAATTATACTCACCAATAACTCGACCCTAATTTTTAAAATAAATTCACTCAAACATAAATTTAGGGTTCTAAAAAAAATTAACATTAATTAAAGTTTTCTTGCACTCGTAGGTGAGATTAAATTACTCAAACAAGTTTCAATTTATCCTTGAAAGGTTAGATTATCCGGAAAATTCTTCTTCCCTTTTTATGCTCCAACTTTTGGCCCAAACTCAAATTTTTCCTCTTTGTGATACTTGATCTTCTAGATTTAATTCGTTTCTTAATTATTTGATTTAAGGTGTTTAAAAGTGTTTGGGTGAAATTTTGAGTAGAGTTCGAAGGAAAATTTGCAAGAGCTTCCCTAATTTTTCAACATTGTTTCATAATTTCTACCACCCATATTTATAAGCAAATTAGATGGACTTTTTCCTTTGGTTGACTCCATCACAACCCTTCATTTGGTTTAATCTTGGCCCTTAATCCTTTTTTTTAATCCTAACCTTTCAATTGGTTTCATCCTAACCATCCATTTAATCTTTAAATTTTGTCCCTCTATCTAACCACTCTCTTTAAATCTAATTCTTTCATTTATGGATGCATTAATTACACCTAAATAATTGGGTTGAAAGTGTCGGCAAAAGTGAGAAAAACCTCTCCTAAAAGTTGCTTAATTTTGGTCCCTAAAGTTGTTACTTTTTCCCTTAATTACTCCTTCATGAGTTCCTTAATTATTCAATTGATCACTTTAGATCCCTCATTTAAAGATTTCTTAACAACTTTTGAATCCCTAAAGTTCACCTCCGATATAATTTGAAAGTTCAAACTTTTAATTTTATACAATTAGGTCCCTAATTTCATGCAATTAGGTCCTTAATTCTCTAATTTTATTCCGTACCTTTTCAAAATTCAATTTTTTCCATAGTAAATTCAAAAACCTCCTAAAATAATTTAATGATCATTCATAATTTTTATACGCTTATTTAGGCGTTCAAATTAATTATTTTGTAAAAAAAATACCTTTTTCTTTAAGAAATATTTCTTATACATAGAAAATTCTATTTAAGTTTATGGAATATTCCTACACATCCTAATTGATTTTTCTATATCCATTGGATAATTTTCTTATACCTTTAAGCACTTAAATTAATTAATTTACCTCAAAACCACTATTTATGCATAGTAAACTTCATATACAATAATCACAAAGCATCAAAAAATTCACCCAATGACATTGAATAAATTAGCACCAATCCAATAAATATTCTATACAAAAAAAACATTTTTTATCCATATTCATCATGCTTAAAATAATTAATTTTCATAAAAAGTCACATTTACGACTCAAAAATCGGATAAAATATTAACTCGACGACTCGAAAAATCATCCTAAATGTGCTAAATATTCTATCAACCTATTTGCAATTATTCCATATCCATGAAATATTTTTCTCACACCTTTAATATATTTTAATTTATTTAGTAACGGTTCGGGGTACTACAACAACGCTTTTGAAATTTTATTTTTTCTTATGCTCACTCGTAGATACTAAATTTATTGCATTTTGTTTAATTATCCTAGGTGATATTATTAAGCCATGACCCGTGGTTCGCGTCGACCTCTCACTCCTTATTAAGGATCATAATCGTTAGTCGTGGACATGCATCCCCACCTAACAATAGCAGACATGGTTCCCATCCAACATCGTCTATGGTTTAAGCATTGTACGTCGGTCCCATAGCATATGATGTTTGTCTTATTCCTACCCTTGAGCTAGTAGTTTTGCACTGATTTTGGCATCTCCATCCATGACCATTCGTCCAACTCCCACGCCCATAGAGCTTCCGCAGCCTCCCATAAGGAATCCTTCCTCCGTTGATGTACCTACCGGTTCAAAGAGCTCCCAAGACACTAATATTTGATAGTCAATTTTGGTCATTAATTATCGGTAAGTAATTTACTTCAAACCTTGTAATTATTTTTTTATTTTAATATACCGTTTCAATAATTATTACATGTTTTTTTTTTGTGGTACTCAACGAGTTTCCTATCGTGTCGGACATATTGATTTAAAAAGATAACTATGATTGTCAACAAGTGGTTGGATGTTGGTGGCTCAACATAGAAGTCCATTTTAGAGCGGACAAAACAATTCTACTACAATGAGTTTAAGATAACGTATTACTTATCTATTTTTATAACATTTAAGCTATTAATTTACCATAAAATGAATAAATATTAATTTTTTTATTCATGTAGAAGTTTTTTTTTAGGATCCGAGCATCGAAGCGTAGGCCAATGATGTTTGGCGAGGCTTTGGCTAATAAGTGCTACTCTAACTTCGTCTACAAGCATGGTAGGAATGACGAAATGGCTTTTTTTGCTAGGAAGGAGACGTGGAATTCATGGATGCGAGATTTTGCCACAACCGATCGTCGGGAGCATTTGTAGCGAGGCATCGTGTAACCGGATGTCGAAGATTGGTGATGCTAGTTCGGGACTCGTCCAAGCATATAAGAAGGTCCTTATCCGCTTCGAGCATACCCGACATTTGGTAAATCCTATCATATAATATTAAATGTTTAAAAAATTAACATTTGCATCTCATATATTATTTGTGCCAATTTTTTTCAAACTATGAAATTAGGGCATCACCCTACAAATTTAGAAT